GGGTTGGGAGGTGGACATCGGGGTTGGGAAGTGGCTGTGGGTGTTGGAAGCTGGAGATGGAGGGCCGGGGGTGGTGGTGGGGTGGGATGGGTTGGGAACGGGAAGGTGAGGTCTGGAGGCAGGACGGGGCATGGATGGGGAAGGGCTGGGCAGGGTGGAGGTGCAGGGGGGCAACGCTTGGTCGGTGACCCCCATCTGAACCACCCCCCGCATCCCCACGGAGGTTCTCCAAGGGAAGCAGAGCCGGGAAGGGCTGGGAGGGGGTCGGTGACTGCGGAGGGGAAGGTGGTGCGTTGTGCTGGCTGTGGGGTGGCACCGGCTGTGGTTTTGGGGGCTCGGCTGTGTCTGGGTGATGCGCTGGTGCCAACAGCGATGGGCTGGGTGTCTTGGAGAAGAAGGTCACGTCCGGAGTTGGTGCAGGGATGCAGACCCTGCCGGTGTGTGTCAGGAGCACAAGGGAACAGGGATAGCCCAAATTGTCCAGCGTTTTCACCCCCATTCCCCTGCGTGCTGGGAACAACCTGCGGAGGCACTGGGGGTGCTCTTGGGTGGCCCTGAGCGCCAGGGGAGCGTGAGGTGCCTCACATCGGTGTGGGAAGAGACGGGAGAAGGGATGGAAATTTGGAAAAAAGGCCGTTCCAATGTGGCTGGTCTGGGTGGGCAGGTTGTTATCCGGGAGACTGGAGCTGGAGTGGGGTGATTTATGGGGTGTTTATTCTGGTGTGTGGGAAGAGCTGGAGCAAAGCGGGGCTCGGGATGGAGCCGCCGCTCCTCCGCAGGCACCGGGAGAAGGAGTTCTGTGGGGTTGGTGCGTGGTCCATGTTGGGGATGTTGAGCGCTTTGGGCCGTAATTCCCAGCCCCGTTTGAGATTCCAGACGTGGCGTTGGGGTTTCCCAGTGAGGAGATCGCGGGGCTTTGCCAGGTGGGGGCCTGGATAATTTGACCAGGAGAGGTTGGGAAGGGAGGAAGAGCAGAAATCCTTGTGATGCCCCGAGCTGCCCTGGCAGCAGCTGCAGTGGGAATCACTCCTTGGCTCGTTCCTGTCTCATTTTAGGGGTGGACTCTGCTTTTGTCAAACAAACCCGATTCAGTTCCCGTTATTTATTTATTTATTTCACACGTGGGTCGTTCCTCGCCTGCGTTACTTCATTTCAGGTTATTTCCATTACGTGTCTTGTGTGTGTTTATTTATTTTGAGGATTTTTTCACACACAGATAAAAACAAAACCACTGAAAGCGCCCGTTAAAAATAGACCCCTTTTCTGCTTAAAATCAGGGGCACACATGTGATTTCTTTTATTGGTATCATGTGAAAAACCTGTCTTGGTGTGATGTTGTGGTTGTGCTTGTTGGTGAGGGATGGTTTTCAGAGTTAAAATAGAGGAACTGATGGGATTTAAGGGGCTTTTTTCCTGCCTAGTGAAGAAGAGAGAGATGGAATTTTTCCTCCCTCTTCCCCCATTGCAGGAACTGTTTGGCTTTTCTGTGCTCAGGAATTCATGATATCTCCAGATATTGTGGCAATCGTTTTTTAGGCTGATCCATGGATTCCCCGGGATCACCAGAGGGTTTAAATGCCAAGAGCTCTTGTTTTATAACAACAATTCCGAGGTTCCCTTCCAAAATCATTCCCAAGACATTGGTGCAATCTGCCAGTTATCAAGTAGTTCCCAAAAGTATTGAAATTTTACCTTCAGGATCCCAAAGGAAAACTACACCCATATTAAAAAAATAATGCCAACCTTCTGAAATCTTAGAGAGTGGGGTTAGTTGTTCATTTTCTTGTTGAAATTTGACTGGGATACGGAAAATATTTAATTGTGGTTTGTTTTTTGTTTGGTTTGTTTTTTTTTCCTGTAGGTGAAAGTCACACAAGAGCTAAAAAACATTCAGGTTGAGCAGATGACAAAACTTCAGGCCAAGCACCAAGCAGAATGTGAGCTCCTTGAAGACATCAGGTAAGGCTCCAGAAAGCGTTCCCAAAATTCCTTTAAGGTCCAGTTTTTGGAAGAACGTTGGAGTTACAAAATTCAGGAACTGACGATGGAATTTCCTCTTTGGATTTCCTGCTTTTGGGCTGTTAAAGTTTTGACACAGCTGGAAATTATAACTGGAGCTCACACAATGCAAACCATTTTTTCTTCTCTTCAATGGGGGAAACGTTAAAAAAAAAAAAAAAGGGTCACAAACAACATAGAAAAAGCCCTGGACTTTTCAGCAATTTATTTCTTTTTATAATAGACTCAGACTTTGATTTACAGGTTGTAAAAGGCTGCTAAAATTATTAAGATATTTTCAAGCCACTGCTGATTTGTGTCTTGGGAGAGAGAGCTTTGAACAGCACTTTGAGACATTGCATTTTTTAACGAGAAAGAAGATATTTGCATTTATGATTTCAAATTCTGCCTGGGTTGGGGACAAGAGGGAAAATCTCCACGACATCAGCGTGTGGGGGTTTATTATTAATTCTCCCTAATGAGATTGTTTCTCTGGAAATTAAAAGTTTGCTTCTAAAACATGGTGGCAGTGGGTACCTGGAATTACATGGAGGATTAATCATTCCATTTGCAGTGGATCCATTTCCAGGCTGGGAAATATTCAGCAATAATAGTGTTGTCCACTTGTTAATTATTTAAATGAGATTTCCTGCTTTATATTTGTCTATCAAATGCAAGTGTTTGGCTTTGCCAGGTTGGTTGTCCTGTTCTCCCAGTGTCCTCTCCTGATAAATCAGAATTTCATGGCTTGAGCTTTCTCCCCCTTGTTTTTTGGGGGTGGAAACACTTTTTCCTATGGGAAAGATCCCAGTGTTCGTTTCCTTAGATAAAAAATTTTGTTTAAGTCACAAATGCTGAGTAATAAGGAACGGGCTGATCCAAGGAATTTTCCCCCCTTAGATGGAAACTTATTTTTAGAACATCTAGGCCAGGTCCTGCTGCTCTAGGCCAGGTTTTGTAGCACTTGCTGGTTTTCAGGAGCTTATAAACCCTTCAGTGTGTGTTCTGCTGAAAGATGGCATAGGGCTTAATTTTCTTGAATGTAATTTAATTGCTGCAGTTAATTAAATCTGCGAGTTTTAACGGCAGGGACAAAGAAACCAGGTTAATGTATTTAATATATTGAATTCCCTGCCATGGCCACTGAATGTGTGGAGCCTGTGTTGAGCACTGGTTGCTGTGTGGATTTACAGATTAAACATTTGTTGTGATGAGATTGGATGTGACAGCTCAGTTGTGGCAGCGATTTGTTCAAATATCAGTGAAAAAAACCCAAGAGAGAACAAGAGATTTTGGGTTAAAAACATGTGCTGGACAAGTTTGTGGTGCAGAGGCCTTTTAATTGATTTAATTGAATCTCGTCCTGTGCTGGTCAGTGGGTGATGTTTGGGAGAAGTTGGGTGTCAACCTTGTCATGATATCACTTTAATAATATCACTTTGGATTTAATAATGGCACTTGAATTTTGGGCTGTGTTCAGGAGAGGCGGCCACCGTGATTCCAGAGCATTCCAGAAAGCTGGAACCACACACAGGATCTTCTCTGCCTCTGGAAAAAGGGATTATTTTTCTAGAAAGCCCCCTGCTGTTATCCAGTAAAAGGGAATTTTAGCTGAATGCTGTTTGCTTGTCAAGACTTGGGAGAATTTTGGGCATTTTGTAGCACTTTGGAAGCTTTTGGGCACAACTTTATCCTCCGAATTCCAGAAACTGAAGTGGCAAAAGGAAACACTGAACCAGGGCTTGGGTTAAAATATGACTTTGTTACAAAGAATGACTGTATTTGTTGGCACAGAACTGCTCCATACAATGCTTATAAACCATAGGGTTTATTTAGGATGTAAAGCTCAGAATTGCATTTTTTTCCAGCACTTTGGTTCGGTTTTTATGCAACTAAAAAGCAGCAGTAAAAGGAAAAGATCACAGAGTTCCAGCAGAATAAACCCATTGTCTGGTGTATTAGGGGATGAGTTTTGGCAGCCATTCCAATGGCTTTGATATCTTCATGCAAAACTGAGCACTCCTTTAAATGGTTGGAGTTGGGAGGTTTAAATTATAGCATTTTGGAGAGGATCAAGAGCAAACTATTTATTCCAAGCTGGATTCTTGGTCAGGGTTGAGGTATCTGTGTGGAAATACCTTTTCTCCAGCCCCTCTGCAGATCCTTAATCTCTGTGAGGGCTCTACATAGACAAACCCACCAGTTTAAAATATATTTAAATCTAAAATATATCCGATAAGACAGCGTTTAATGCCGGATTTAGGTCCTGGAGGGCAGGAAAAAGAGGGAACACGTTGGTCTTGTGGAAAGCAGACCTAGGATTGCTCAAACTGTGTTCTGGGGGAAACTGGGCTGGGAATTAGGGGAGTTCTGACACGCTGTAAAACTCTGTTATATCCCAAAATATCAGCATTTCAGCATTACAAACTCCCGGGTCTCCCTGGGGAAGCTCAGCAGCAACTAGAGCTGAAATCTCAGGACTTGACAAGACTCCATAAAAACAGTGTTTGAGATGTTTAGCAAATAGGTTTGAAAGCACATTTCTGTGTTTGTCATCTCAGTTTGGCTCTTTGGTTTCCGTTCCTTCCTGCTCAGTGAGTGGGGAGTTTGTGGAATGAGTGATTCAGGAGGCTTTCAGCATCTCAGGCTGGGTTTTAGGCGTGACATGTTTATCTGCTGCAGCTGACTGAGGCTGTCACATCCCTTCATGTGCTACATCTGTGCTGGTGTTACTATAAAAAAGGTTGTTATTCTGCCACGGTGATGGAGATAGAGGTTTTCTCCCCCAAAAATACATGTTTTGTTGCTGTGAACCAGAAAACCTTTTAGGTTTTTTTTTCTGGTGCTTCTTCCCTCTGTCCCCACTGGCTTCTTTTAGGCAGGGAATGAATTAGTTTGGAATTCCAGGGGCCAGCTGGATTATGAAAGGCTGAATTTATCAGAGGGGTTGGCAATTTTCAGGTGTTTTAGTTTGCTTTCAGGATTGACTGATTGGACTGAGGGTAGTAAATAAGTCACAGCCAGAGCCTGCAGTGGCCCTTGGGCTGCTGAACACAGAATTGTAAAGAACTCTGTATAATCCACCTTTTAATTCAACTTGGTGTTTTTCTGAGGTGTTTATATGCTACAGACTTTATACACTTGTGAATTGATGGTTGTTTTACCTTGAATTTTAGGCCCTGCTTTTCCAAAGCACTTGATAGGCCTTTACAGCTTTGGGTATCCTAAAGTGTCCTTTTTGAAGCTTCCCATTTGTGTTTTGCCAGAGAGAATGAAATCGTGGTGAAGTGTCTGTTCTAGTGTGTTCTAGAGCCTGGACTTTAGTCTGGACTAAAGCTCAGCTGATTCTGCTGCAGCGGAATGGATTAGGGAGCTCAGCCACCTGAAATCGAACCTTCCCTGCCTTTTCTCCCAAGTCTTTTGGTAAATCCTGTGGCACTGCTGGAATGAGAGGGAGGAGGGATGAGGAGGAAGGAGGGGGAAGCGAGGCTGGGCAGCAGCATCCCGGCTTCACGTGGGTTTAAAGCCACCATCATAGGCCCAGCCTAAAGCCCCTGTGGAAGGCACAGCTCCTGCTTTGGTATTTCCAGCTCTGGAAACTCCACCTGATTTAAATCTAAAGTAATTTTGGCTGCCTGGATGTGCTGATCCTGTGTTGCTTCAGCCTTATAAGCAAGTGGAAATAAGGTGTAAAAAATGGCCTGATTTCTGGCTGAGATGGAATAACAACACGGTCCTTTTATTTGTTGGGTCCTGAATTTAGTTTTAGTGGTTCTTTTTGCTTTCAACTCCATGCATAGTGTAAAAGGAATTGCCAAAATCCCAGGCTTATGACCTACCTGTGCTCCTGATACAGATGCAAATCTACATGCAGAGATTTCCTTCTGTTCCTTTGCCTCTTCTGTCCTTGTGGTTTCTTTCTTCCTGACTTTTTCTTATTTAAAATATCTTCCCATTGTCCATTATATTGCATATTGTACCCTGTAAATTCATCCTTCTTATTTTTGGAAAAGCTGCTCTCACTCTCTGTTTAATTCCCCTCCCTCCTCCGCTTCTGGGGGTATTTTCTACCTTCCACCCACAGCTCTGCCCTCTGACCTGCTTCTTTTCAATTTATCAACTTCTTGAGAAATTTGTTGTACTTTTTCCTCCCAGGTGCTTCATCCCTCCCCTTTCTTTACCCAGTTCTGCCCCTGTGAATTTTAATTAGCCCTTTGTTTCTGAGATTTGATGTTCAGCTGTAAGGTGAGTTATTTGCCACGTGGGGAGACCTCGTGGCTCTTCCTGAACAATCCAAGCCCTTCCAAATCTTGGATTTTGTCGCTTCTGCTCTGCTGAGGTGTACCAGGAATAGATTTGGGACGGGATCAGTAATTCCAGGGCAGGATTTGTGGTTTTATGGGCAGGATGAGGCCGGAGCACTCCTCGTGTGTGTCTCGTGCTGCCCCAACAAGCCCAAACGAGCAGCCCCGGGGGGTTTAAAGAAAGAAAGTAAAAGTGTGAATGAACCTGGATCCGTGACCAGGCAGTTGCTGCTCGTTTGAACATGTCATTTTGTGTTCTGAGTTATGCTCCACTTAGCAGAGTTCCAGGGAGGCTTTTTGCTCTCGGGTATACTTTGTACTCCGCCGTGGAATTTGCCAGTGCCGTCGTGTTGGCAGGTTCCTGATAAGGTTTATTGGAGTTCTGGCTGGAGTGGGAACTTTTATTCCTGTTTAAATCTAATCCAGCAGATCATGGAACAGATCCTGTGCTGGGGAAGAGCTGCACCCCAGCCCAGAAAATGAGCAGCTGGAGAAGGAAACTAAAATAACGTGGATTTATAGGGCTTTGGAGCCATATTTATTAGGATGCCATAAGGGATGCTGAAAAATCAGGAGAAAACTTTCCTTTTCCTACCCTTTCTCCCTGTTTTTCCCAGTCTCTCCAATTTATTTGGATATTCCTGAACCCCGTCTCAA